GTCTGGTGCTGCCTTACAGTGTTACAGTGCTTGTGTGTCAAGCGTCAGGAAGTTACAAGTGTAATTTGTCTGAAAGCTCTTCACAGAATATACTGTACATTGAACAGTCGTGGATTGAATGACCAATTTGTTTTTATTTGGGGAGGATTATTACCCCCAGGAAAGCAATCCGTCAATTGACTAACAACCAGGTTCCTACTTACTGCTTACTTTTCCGGGGTAATAATCCCTTTCAAAAACATTTGGTCCCTCAAGCCACGACTGTTTGTGGTGTGGGACACTGCTGTGTGCAATTGGTTGCCGTGTTTCACCCACAAAATATACAGTCAATTCACTTTACAGTTTATTCTGTGAAGCGCTTTGAGACGTCTCAAAGAAGTAATAAGGCGCTACATCAAATGCAAGGATTAGTATTATTATTCTTTCCATTTTAACATTTTTTTTAGTATCAGCATCTGGGGAATGAGGGAAATGTATTCAGGAAAGTTCAAAGAGTCATTTGTGCCAAGAAAACAAGCAAATTTAATTAGAACAAGGTATATTTGGAATCGATTGCAAAGCAGTGATGTAACCACCTGCTTCAGATCACATCGCAAATCCAGATGATTAATTTTTTAACCTTGAGAAATCACTCTTCCAATTGACTTTTGTACATGGAACGAAAGGCGATTTTATCGATGGAGTTGTTCTGTTCCTCGGTGTGTTCTTGTACTGGTAGGCTGTGAAGTTGCAATTACTGTATAACTTGACTGAGTTAGTGGAGCCGCTACAGAGAGGGAAACCAAGCCATTGAGACCAGGAAAGTCCTAATCTTGATCTGATCTCTGCAAACCTCAAAGCTGGGCCAGCAGTTTGGCAAGGAAATTGGCTTTGCACGAGGAGTGGGTGTAGGGGAGCGAGCGGGGGAGGGAAGGAATTAACCCGGTTGCTATACCGTGACCTTTGTAAGAATAGTGTTCATGACACACATTGAGTAAGAACACGATCAGGTTGCACTGTGACAGAATGAGCTGCCGAAGCTCTAAATTCGCAATGACAAACTCCAAAATGAAAGACGGCTGTAAAATCCTCTGAACTTCACTGAGTGTCATCTGCACTTTCTCATCATCATCATCATCAACATCATCATCATCATCAGTACAAATGCAAGGATTTGTTTGAGTAGTAGATGACCTTTGCAAACCAAAGCCCGAATGGTTGGGTGGTCCAAGCTGGACAAGCAACAGAATGTCTGCCAGTGTTAGCAATGGCGAGTTCGGTAATTTCAGCTGTTTGACTCCAATAGCTACCACAAAACATACTCTAACCTCCCCCACACCCGGTGCCCCCTCCCGCCAGCAGTGGTTCTTGCAAACCTATGCCTGAACTCCCAAAAATTAGAAAAGCAAGGTGTCTCCCTCCAGACATTCAATCCACAACTATTTGTGGGACGCTGCTGTGCGCAATTGGCTGCCGCGTTTCGTCCACAATATATATAGTCACTCCACTTTACAGCATATTCTGTGAAAAGGGCTTTGAGACTTTTCGAAGATGTGATAAGGTGCTATATCAAATGCAAGGATTATTATTATTATTATTATTATCACATTGAGATATCTCAAAGTCCTTTATGGTAATTATGTTCAAGTGTAGTGATATTTTGTAAGTATTTGTACCATGAGGTGAACAATTGATTTAACTGTAAATGCTCATTGACTGTAAATTGACTGTAAATGCTCCTCTCTTTTCAAAAAACATCATGGCATCTTTAACGTCCAGCTGAATTCAGTTTAACGTCTCTTCCGGAAGGCAGCCTCCTCTGGTTAATGCAATACTACCCCAGTCATGGGGTTGGGTAAATCGAGACTGTAAGTTCAAGCACCAATTTAACATTGAGGCTGTTCCTGAGAACTCTGTGAAAGTGATGATGCCCCACTCACTACCCACCCCTCCCTCCCCCCACTTCAGTATTTCCTCTGTCCCTTCATCTTCCATGCCCTCAATCCCTCAGTACTTACCCAAAGTGACTGGAATCAAACTAACATTTCACTGGGGTAAGAACGATAATAATCTTATCCCATTGCTCAGTGCCTCCATACATATATCCAACGCTTTTTCACAGAGAGTTGTTGGGATCTGGAATGCATTGCCTGAAAGGATGGTGGAAGCCAATTCGGTAACAGCTTTCAAGAGAGAAGTAGATCATTATTTGAGGAGGACAAGTTTGCAGGGGAGAGAGTGGGGGAGTGGGGTTGATTTGGAAGCTCTTTTCAAAGAGTGGGCACAGACACAATGGGCCAAATGGCCTCCTTCTGTGCTGTATAATTCTACGATTCTATGGTTCTATGATTCTTTGCTGACCCTAAAAAACTATTTCATCTTCAAAGGATTATACAGTACTTAACTTAAAGCCAGACTTTCCCAATTCATGTTATCCCACAGCCAAGTAACAAACCTTAAGAGGTTAGAGGTCGGTAGAGGGGAAGACCTAGCTGGCAGTGGGAGTGGGCAGGAGATTGCCGCAGTTCATATTGTGAAAGAATTCTTTAAAAGAGATGAATTTGTCCTGCCCAACAGTGCAACAAGTAAATCAGATGTTCACCCCATGGCTGTTTGTGATGCCGATATTAGCTATTGTGTTTGCCTACTGGTACACTCAACAAACAGCAATTGCTTGTGAGGATCACCAAAATTACATTTGATAGCTCATGTCAGGAAGACATCTCAAAGCACTTCATGTAAAGTGATATGTGTAAAGTGTAGTGACTGTGTATTTTGTAGGTGAACATGGCAGCCAATTTGCACACAGCAATGTCCTGCAAACAGCCATGAAGTGAATGACCAATTTTATTTAATGAGTAATATTAATAATCCTTGCATTTTATGTGGGGCCTTATCACCTCGTTGAGACGTCTCAAAGCTCTTCGCAGAATTTATTGTAAAATGGATCGACTGTGTATTTTGCGGGCGAAATGCAAAATATACAGTCAATTTTATTTGGGAGTATTGTTGGTCAGGGCAGTGGGAGAAACTCCCTTCTCTTTAAGAATAGTGCCGTGCAATCATAATAGAAGGTTATGCTTGAAGGCTTAGTTGAGGAAGAGCAGGAGGAGGCTCATGTGGAGCCTAAACATCAGCATAGACCAGTTGGGCCGAATGGCCTGTTTCTGTGCTGTATATTCTAATATATTCTAACGTATAAACTGAACAGTTTAATGTCTCACCCCCAAGAACCTCAAAGTGGATCACTGTCCCAGCACCACAATGGAGTGTCAGCTGAGATTGTGTTTTGAGATCACAAGCTTCGTGTTATTTTACACACCGCACCCTGTGGTGTTTTGGCTTTTAAAATTGCCGTTTTCTCCACTGTAATTTCTGCTGGAGTCAGAGAAATTGCAGACGAGCCAACACATTTTGACTCTGCTGCTGCTTTTGTTGCAAAAAAAATATTTATAGGCCACTTGGTTTACAAAAAGATTGAGCACCACTGATGTGGGGAATGAGGGCATTTTGCTTGCGCTTTTCATGTGGTTACCTCTTACTTCTTACATATGACTCTTTGTACTCAAAGCTTGTAACACTCGAACACACTACCGCAAGAACAGAGGAATAGTCTGAAGGAGAACCCCCGAGGCAGGACTTGTGTATGCTGGAATTGCTACAGGTCAAATTATATATATATATTTTTAACTTCTCAGATAGTTACAGTCTCTGTGCTTATAAATCTTCAATGTCTGAATTGATGGTCAGGATGTCCTGCCAAATGACCTAGCATTAAATGCTGGGTGAAGCAGAATCCATAATACCAGATCCAGTGATCCGCTCAGTTGAGTAAGAAAAGTATTTGAGAAAGAAAGATATCCAATGGTAATAATACTTGAATTTGATGTTCCTAGTAAAGAAATATTAAAAGACCTGGGCAGCCAACAGGAGGGTGGGATAAGACAAGGTGACTCTCGTGAAGATAAACTCTTAACGTAGATTTGAAATAAAAACAGAAGTCGCTGGAAACACGCAGTAGGCCAGGCAGCATCTATGGAGAGCGGAAAATTAGTTAATGTTTCAGGTCGAATCCTTTCGACCTAAAAACTTCTGTTTTTATTTCAGATTTCCAGCATCTGCAGTATTTTCCTTTTAATCATAGAATTATACAGCACAGAAGGAGGACATTCAGCCCATTATGTTTGTGCCGGCTCTTTGAAAAGAGCAATCCAATTCGATCCCATTCCCCGCTCTCTCCCCATAGCCCTGCAAACTTGTCCTCCCCAAATAATTATCTACTTCTCTCTTAAAAGCTGTTATAGAATCGGCTTCCACCATCATTTCAGGCAATGCATTCCAGATCCCAACAACTCGCTGTGTGAAAAANTTTCTCCTCCCGTTTCTTTTAACAACTATTCTAAATCAGTGTCCTCGGGTTACCGACCCACCCGCCAGTGGAATAGCTTCTCCTTGTTCACCCTATTGAATCCCCTCATCATTTTGAAAAGTTCTATTAAGTCTCCCCTCTCTGCCCCAAGGAGAATAACCCTCGCTTCTCTCGCCTCTCCTGATCACTGAAGTCCCTCATTCCTGGCACCATCCTGGTGAATCTCCTTTGCACCCTCTCCAATGCCCTGACATCCTTCCTAAAGTGTGGGGCTCAGAACTGAGCACAGTCTCTCGCTGAGGCTTAACCAGTGTTTTATAAAGGTTCATCATAACTTCCTGACTTTTGTATTCTATGGCTCTATTTATAAAGCCTAGTATCCCGGATGTGTTTTTAACAGAGTAGATGTGATGGACTAAATCATGTGTTTCTGTGCTGCAATGATCAATGATTCCATAATCTGCCTGAACAGACAAATGGGACCTCAGTTTAACTTCTTTCTCATCACTCCTGTATGGCTGCAGTTATCAGCTTCTGCTTGATCCCCCATTTCGGTTAGCCTTTAAGGACAAGAAGTATCTTATTGCACCTCGCGCTAGATCTCGTTGAAACCAGTGATTGAAAGCAAACATGTAAGTGTTGATCCAATGGATAGCTGCTTCTCTGGAATGCTTTTAATTAACAATTAACAGGCCCGGCGACAGCTGGCACTGTACATTCTCCTAGAAACATTTCTGTCTTCATAATGTCTGTCAGAACAAACAGCACTGTACATCAGCTTCATCACAAAGCTTCCGTTTCTACATATCACAGTAAATCTTTGTACATAATATACACGCCTATGCTACATTCACGTTCTTTTAAGACACTGAAGTTCATTAGTATTGACATTTTAAGGCAGTTTTGATCATGGTTTGTTTGTTTGTTTAGAGAAATGAATGGGGTTAACTGAAAATCTATATGAAAGCAACTCTGATGTCTACTCATGTAGCACAGTGACTGGATAAGTCAGCTCTACGGGTGTCGAGACCGATTCCACCACATTCAGTCATAAAAGAGTTCACAAGACAGGTTTGGATGAAGAAAGACTCTTCGGCTCATTTGATCTCATCCTTCCAGAATGCCCACCCCACCGTCCTCCGATCACAGAGTTACTTTAGTTTGTGGCCACATCACAGGGGTTTTCTCCTCTGTCTCTGGCCACTTTGTATATCCTCCTGAAGTCTTTATATCGAGGAGCACAGCCCAGTTGAGCCTCACTAAAGTGCATGCTGCCCGTAAAGAGAAAGTCTCCTTCTCCCTCCTTGACTCCACATTGTAGCAATGTCTTTATATGTCCCAGCCACCTCCCGCTCTTCCCGACGGGCTGGAACGTTCTGCTTTTCTGTCTGTAGATCTTGTCTGCAAAGACTTCTATCGTAGATTTCTCCTGCAGTGGGTCATGGGTCACAGAGCGAATGCTTCCACGGACCACTGGAGAGGAAGCAAATTGTCCCAGTTGAATATATTGGTGACCGACCACACAATCAGAAAGTAAAGGGCAACAGAGATAGACAACTGGAAACGGAATGAGAGCCCACGATAGCAATAACCACACTTTGACCTTTTTTTCGATGTTGCCTGATAGTACTACACTCAATCCATAAACCTGGTTATTTACAAAGATTACAGCAATCTCCTCAGGTTGCATTAACATATCTTCACGTCTATAATGGTTCCTAGTCTCTCGTCCTTTGTGTAAGACATTTCCATTTTACTTATCCGTTTATTACCAATTGTTGCACTCCTTCAAAATTATTAGTGTTGATTTGTTTGTCTAAATTGCATCCCCAGGGCCAATGTTAGCCAATGTACTTCAAACAATGATAATAATCCTTGCATTTGATACAGTGCCTTGTCAAGTCGTCAAAACATCTCAAGGCGCTTCAAAGGATATTCTGTAAACTGGATTTTGGGGACTGAAAGCGACAGCCAATTTGCAAACAGCAAAGTCCTAGAAACAGCCCTGGAGTGAGTGACCAAATTTATCTGGGGGATTGTTGGCCAGAACCCTCGAAGAAACTCCCTTCTCTTATCAACTAGCGCCGTGGGATCTTTAACTTCACCTGAACAGGCAGACGAGACCTCGGTTTGACGTCTCATCTGAAGGACGGCACCTCCGATCATGCAACACCCCCACCCCCAGTGCTGCACAGGAGCATCAGCTTAGGCTATGTGATCCTAAGTCCTGACGTGGGGCATGAACCCACAACCTTCTGACTCAGAGGCTAGCTTGCTGCCACTGACCCACAAAGATTCCCAAATGCACCTGAAAGCATCTTAGGCTGCGCAGCAGTAATTACGAAACTCTATTGCGTCTGAAACTGACCAGGGTCCAACTTCCACAGCACAATCCAGGGTTTAACAGGGCCTCAGGCGGCTGTATCAAAATGTCTATTACTCCTGCCCAAGATGCTTTACCCTTGGAAAAGATCCTCTCTCAGTCATTGAGAGTTTGGAGAAACTACCTCTTCCCTCTGTGCTGGGCTTTGTTGAGAGATCACAGGGACAATGCATTCCACAGCCACACAGAGCTGCCTACAGCCCAGCGGTCTCTCCCAGCGTGTTCATTAAGAAGCAGTAAAGCAGGACGTGCTTTTCACTGCTTAACGACGGAGCACAATGGGTGCATGCAGTTCGCATTTTAACCAGCCCAAAGCAGAACCCAAGAAATCCTCCTTTGTGTGTTTTTTTCTCTCTCTGGATTGGAAGCACACGGGAAATAAAGAACGCATGGCTACTGCTCACCCTGGGAAACCTTCTTAACATTGAATCCACATCCCCATTAAACTCCGCAGCTTTGTCCGTTGGACAAAGCCGCAGACAATTACAAAGTCTTTAGCCAAGGCTAATTGTTATCGACCTGCTTAATTGTGGTCAGTAAAACGTAATTGCTTTGAATGGATTTACAGCTCCACAGAGCATTTCACGCTCAGCGCTGAATGCACCCCGGGTTGAAGTGGTTATAGTGGTTAAAGTGAATTTGAGGTGTACAATGGTAAAGAGCGGAGAGGGTTGAAGCAGCCTCACCAAAGTCACTCGTGCAAGCTGCCATCAGGACCTCTGAGTCATTGCACGGGCAGCAAGGAGCTGGAAAGGAAGAAGAGAAAAGATTAGTACAATCTCATTTGGTTAACGCAGAATCGCAGAATGCTCCAATAATCCTTGAGTTTACTACAGAGCCTTTCACATTGGGAGGACGTCTCAAAGTACTTCACAGGGTTTTACCACAAAGTGTGATGACTGTATTTTGTAAGCAAACACTGCAACCAATGTGCGAACAGCAATGTCCCACACACAGCCAGGAAGTGAAAGGCCAATTTTATGTAGGGGATTGTTACAATACAATGCAAAATTACATTTGTATATAGCGCCTTTCACATCAGGAGGATGTCCCAAGGCGCTGTTAGACAGAACACCGGAAAAACTCCCTTTTCTTTCCGAATAGTACCACAAAACCTTTACCTCAAACAGGTCCTCAGGTTAGCATCTCAACTGAAGGACGGCAACCCCAGCAATGGAGCATAGCCTCAGACTGTACTGAATTGGATTGTCAGCCTAGGCTATGTGAGCTTCAACCCACTTTGACTCAGAGGCAAGAGTTCTACCAACTGTGCCAGGCTGACACACTAATAATAATAATAATCCTTGCATTTGATATAGCTCCTTATCACGTCTTCGAGACGTCTCAAATCGCCTCACAGAATATACTGTAAAGTGAATTGACTGTACATTTTGTGGCCTGAAATACTGAAAAACATAAATCATTTACATTTTTATGGAACCGTTTCACATTAAAACTTCTCAAAATGCTTCACAAATAGATGGTGTTAAGTATATGTGACTTTTTGCAGGTTAATGCAGCATCTATTTGCACACAAGGTTCCCACCCACATAAGCATAAAATGAATGACCAATTAAGATGGAAGATTTGGGCTAGGACAACACAAGAAACTCCCTTTCCTTTTTGAAGAGATTTGTGGGCTCTTTAATCTTTACCTGAATTCAACCCATACCTAAATGGCTCATCAAAAGGACAACTCCCTTAGATACAACAATACAGCTACATTCAGCATTGAATCAGAGTCTCATTATTCTTAAACCATGATATGTGTCTGTGTCAACTGGCTCAGTTGATTGTACTCTCACCTCCGAGAAGGGATTTTGAACTCAGTCTAGGCTGACCCAGTGTAGTGCTGGGGGTAATGCTGCATTGATAAAGGTGCCATCCTTCAGATGAAACGTTAAAACCGAGATCCCAACTGCTTGTTTAAGTGGACGCTAAAGGTCCCGTGGCACCATTCGGAAAGAGAGGTTCTTGCCAACAGTTCCCCAGGTAAAACTGGTTATTTGTTGGACATTGCTGTATGCAAATTGGCTACGCTATTTCCCACAAAAAACATAGTCACTCCACTTTACGGTGAATCCTGTGAAGTGCTTTGAGTTGTCCTTCTGACATGAATGCCATTATATCAAATGGAAGGATTAGGATTAAGATCTGGTGCAGCAGGAATGAAATGAATTGCTGCTCGCAAACCCCTGGCATTTCCCTTGCTAAAAAAATCACCAAATATTAAATCTGCAGCAGCTCTGAGTCTAAATTGTAAAGGGAAAAGGTGCTCACTCCCATACTTGTTATTTTGGTCATGTTTAACCTCATTTTCTGTCACCACATCCCCCCCGCCCCCAATCTTTCTAACAACCATTTTTTTAAAAAATGATCGCCATTTAAATACATACCTTCCCTATGTCTTACTCTCCTGGTTTAACCCAAATAATCACAAGGGTTAAGAGGATACTGTGATCATTGTTGTTTTAAAAAATAAGGTCCGAATTCGACTTAAACGAGGGATGAGATCACCCTCCAGAATCAATCAGAAAGATTAAAGGAAAAAAGAATCCAGAAGAGTCACATTCTGTCATATGCCTCGATGGAGAGCCGTGAAGGCCTGTGAAGTCAGTTGGAATCCCTGACCTCTTTATCTGGAATAAAATCCAAGCTTTTTATCGTGGTCTGTAATTGTTTTCTTCGTTGCTGACCCAAACACAAGCAAACAGGAAATCCATTTGCTCCAGACCAAAGCTTTACCTGAATCCACTCACTTGTCAGCCACTCTGAGCTCCACAGAGAAGGCAAGCCGTTGTGTTGGCCCCTGAAGCTTAAACACTTACAGCTCCTGAGCTATCTCCGGGATAATGGGGATATTGTTCTAAACTGCACTCAGCTCTAGTGGGGATTACTCTATGGATAGTGACAGCATCCTGCGGTAACTTGACTCGGTGGCTAACCATGGCTCCTGCGTCGCTGCATTCAGCGCTTAGGCCGCTCAGAGGGATACAATTGCATCAATCCACATAAGGCACAAGGCAGCAGGCGTACTACAGCTGCTTTGAATCACTTGCTCTCTGAACTCAATGTTACAACAAGCACACGGCACTGCTAACAATGGGCAACACTCGCTAGCCAAGAGTGCATCTTCCCAGAGGGACTGAGTACATGTTAACACCATGTCTGACTGGCTTGAGAGCTCAACAAGCGAAAGGTTGACCTCACATTCCTTCTCTTTTCTTTGGTCGACCGAGTGACACATGCAGAAACCCATCACCATGCTTCAGAGTATCCAAACCAAACCGAGAATTCCATGCATCCCACCCAACATTCCTCAACACCAACTCATTACATGGCTAAACCAAACATCTACACTTTAATTAACCTCATCTGCACCAAACGTGTTAAAAATTCCTTCCAGTGTTGATCTACGATGTTGATCTATACAATATGTAACATCAAAGATGTGTTTTTACTAATCTAGGAAAAGATTGTTCTGGGATAGGATCTAAACTCCCAATTCACCCACATCCAACATGCCTGCAGTTATTAGATATTCACTGAATAGCTCACAAAATACACAGTCATTCCACTTTATAATATATTCTATGAAGCCCATTGAGAGATCTCAACAACTTGATAAGGTGCTATATCAAATGCAGGAATTGTAATTATTATTAGTTGCAAAATTTAAGATAACCACAAAAAGAATTAAAGTGGAAATTGGAAAAATGCATCAATAATTGTGAAATTGCATCCGTAATATCAAACCTTCACAAAGGGCCATAAAGTCTAGTGACTGTGTATTTTGCAGCCAAACACAGCAGCCAATTTGCACCCGTCAAGGTCCAGCAAACAGTCATGAAGTGAATGACGCACTAATCTGGAGGATTGCTGGCCAGGACACCAGGAGATATTTCCTTCTCAGATGAAAAGAACAGATGATCCAATAAAACAGAACAGGTTGAATGGCCTCCCCCTGCCTTTCAAATTATAATAATAATCCTTGCATTTGATATAGCACCTTATCACATCATCGCGACGTCTCAAAGCGCTTCATGGGTTATACTGCAAAGTGAATTGACTGTATTTTGTCAGCGATAAACAGCAGCCAATTGTACACAGCAGTCCCCCAAACAGTCGTGGATCAATTGACCAAACTGTTTATCTATTTTGAAGGGATTATCAAACTGGACTAACAAGCAGGTTCCTACTTACTGCTGGGTAAACAGAGGCATGTGGAGTAAGGAAATTTGCCTAAGGTTTCGCCCCACCTGGGAACCCAACTTGGGTCCTCTCGCTTGCGAGGCAAGTGCTCTAAGCACTGTACAGGACTCCACAAGAATGCAGTCCGTCAAATACAACCTTTACGCCTTGTACAAGGCGCATTTTAATAGAGGTTTGCAAACTTTAGGACTGTGGAAAAGAACAAGTAACGAGTACAAATAGGTTTGGATGGTTTAACACAGGACGTGCTTCTCTCTCTCTTCAGCCGAGAAGCAATGACAATCAACTTGTTCTTGTCTCCCTCTCTTCCGCCTGATCAGCAGATATTTCAATCGCGAGGATATTAACTACTGTGAATAATAACAATCCTTGCATTTGATATAGCACCTAATGATGTCGTTGAGACGTCTCAAAGCGCTTCACAGAATATATTGTAAATTGGATTGACTGTGTATTTTGAGGGCCAATGCGCTCAGCAGTGTCCCACAAACAGTCGTGAGGACTGAGTAACCAAATTTATTTTATATTTTCTTTTGGGGGAGTAGGGGGGAGGGGGAGTGGAGGGAAAGCAATCCGAATAATATGGGCGGGTAGGAGGGGAAATTTCTACTCAATTGAGAGTTGAACTCAGTGAGTCCTTTACCCTTGTATCCAGTTCCCTAAACAACAGTTGCTCCGTCCTTAAATATTGCACCTGACCTCCCACGTTTGACTAATTCCAGAGATGAGAAGTGAATAAATTGTTTGAAGTGCAGCCTAGCAAAGCAGAGACTTTTTTTTCTCTCCTCCAGCTGTACTGCAAGAACCGCCCGGCCAATCTCCCGATTCCATCTTAACCATTTGATGAGAAAGGCAAACAAATGCACATGGGAACACTGTTACAGTTCAATGGCTGGATTTCTGGTGACCTATTAAATATGGATTTAAATCTGATTTAGTACGTCTCACAAGCTGTGAGATCCACCAATCTAACATAATAATCCTTGCATTTTGATATAGCACCTTCAAAGTGTAGTGACTGGTATTTTGTGGGTGAATGCAGCAGCTAATTTGCACAGCCAACAACTGTGGCCCACAAACAGCCCAGTGAATGACCAATTTTAATTTTGGTCTTTTCTTGGCCAGAACACCGGGAGAAACTCCATTCCTCTTTGCAAATAGTGCCACAGGATCTTTAACCCCCGCAAAGGAAGGATGGCACCTCTGACAATGCAACGCACCCCAATGCTGCACTGAAATGTCACCCTGCAATGTGAGCTCAAGATCCCTGATGCAAGGCTTTAAACCGCAACCTTCTGACTCAAAGACGAGAGAGTGCTACCTTGGTAAGGAGATGGTAAAAATTGTTAGACAAAATTAAACTATAATCATCTCAATTTTGTGCAGACTAACTTTCACTCCTTCCACACTCAACATTGAGCTGAGGAAAGTTACAGTAGGTCATTCCGATGGGCCTTATCACGTCATTGAGACATCTCAAAACGCATCCCAGAATATACTGTAAAGTGGGGTGACTGTAGTTCGTGGGTAAATGCAGCAGCCAATTTGCACAGAG